AAAAAAACACAAGTTCAGCACACTCTGATGGAAAATCTGACGCGTTTTTCTCAAAAGGTTCATGGAGATCAGTAACCTAACACCAACGTCTATTCATGTTTTCGATATTTTAAGGTTTATTCACACTTAGTAAATACAACTTAATCAACGAAGCAAATATAACTATATTTTAATAATAAGATGACCATTAGGTAAAGTTCGGCTTATAAATATCACAACTGGTACCATCTATTTTAACTAGATTATAACCAGACGCAAACCTTTATGCATATTTTAAACATTTCGAGCTCTATTTCCATTTAATAGAAAATACAGAAAATGTAAGTTCTGTTTAGGAATAAGGGGACCTTTTGGTAAACTTCTTCGTCTAAATGACAAAGCTAGAGCATCCATTTCAGCTAAAAAGTGATTTATTTGGGAGTTATTTATGACTAGCTAGTCGCCAGCAGCTGACACTTCTCAACTCTAAACGCTCTCAAAACCACTAAAACTCAATCTACGTCACAGTTATTGAAGCCGACTCACAGACGCGTTAGTACATGTCTCCGGGGTGTCGTGTCAGTGCATCAGAAATACGGCTGCACGTCCAAAATAGTTTAAATCCGCTTCTATTTACACACTTCGAATCTCCCACTTTTTTGCGCCTCAGCGTCGCTTCTTATACACGTCACCAGCGCTGAGCAAGCAGTCGCATGCTAACTGCGATACTCCCGCCATCTTTCCTGCCGGCTTCCAGCCCGTGAGAGGAACACGTTGCTGGAAAAAAAACAGAAGTTTCACCCCACAGTTTTTGTCTCTAAACGTGTCTTCTCTAATAATCCCTTCTTAACCGGGTAGCTGGAGCCGGATAAGGGTGAGTTTGCGTACTCATCGCCCTGGATTTTATTGCTTTTGACGTTTTCATTGCCACAGAAACGAGCAGATGTCGGGCTGCTGGGCCTCCGCTGCTAATATCGTGAAGCTAGCCGTTAGCATTCTCCAATGAACATCCTAAACTTCGCTTCCACCGGACAAGCGTCTCTTTATAATTGGTCCGTTATCCAGTGTAATTGTATGGTTACAGCTTGTTGGGAGTCAGTCAGTGTGGTTTCCCCTGTTTGCTCGTATTGCTGAGAGACGGGCCCTGAAAATATTGCGTTTTCTTTTAACGACAGGATCATGCGCCAAATTCCATTCGTAAATCTCCCAAGTTATGATGTTTCACATCACTCACCGTAGCAGACAGTCATGAGATTATAATTCCAAGACATTTTTAAAGTGTTTATGGGTAGTTTATTAATTCGGCATATGTATGCACCACAGATCAGCACGTTATTGGAGGAGAAATCCCTAGTTTGAAGCTCGTCGCCACCGCCCGTCATGCTAGAATACAGCTAGTTAAAATAATTAATATTATGACTTAAATTAATGCCGAACTAAAAGGAAAGTTGGGCACAGATTGTTTAAATGAGTTGAAGCGGGTGTTTCCAGACACATGCGTACAGACGTGAAGCAACGATGAAAGGGCAGAATTTTAAATGGACCCTGGTGTGGCTCGCTCTTCCTTTACAAAAGACTGCAAAGCTCAAATGGGCCCGACTCCTGGGGGCCTAGATACGCACACACCAGACCAGGATCAGAATTAAAGACAGCAGGTATTAAATGCAGTCAGAGGCTGGTTTAGGCAGGAGATTTGCAGCACTCTATTGTTGAATAAAAAGAGCGTTTGTTCAGAAGCGAATGTGTTGTTTCAGCAGAGTTAACATTGTGCATGTGGACGCAGGTTTGACCCCGACTGCTGCACTCTACATTTAGAGCCTTTTTGGATGGTTTTGGGCAGCTGCATGCTAATCATGACTCAGTTTATAAATTGTTCCTGTTTCTCTTTGTATGTTTAATCACATTTTCTCAAAACCAGCTCCTCAGATATCAATTTGTTTCTCCAGCTCCACAGGTGCTAACGTCCATCATTCCCGCCCTCAATCATGGCGGATAAGAACACCAGGATCGCCATCGTCAACCATGACAAATGCAAACCTAAGAAATGCCGTCAGGAGTGCAAGAAGAGCTGCCCGGTCGTCCGTATGGGTGAGTGTGGAGATGATCGCACCGACGGCACAAACTAGAGTGAGAGAGAAATGTGTCTAAATGTGAACCGTGTGTGTCTTCAGGTAAACTGTGTATTGAGGTGACTCCACAGAGTAAGATAGTGTGGATCTCAGAGTCTCTGTGCATAGGCTGTGGCATCTGCATCAAGGTAATCTTAGCGCCTGAATATCTAGCAGGATCTTTTCAGACTGCTTTTAGTCACAACGTTTAAACTATTAAGAGTGTTTTTGAAGTTTGTTTCGTGACTTTTTCTCCTTGCAGAAATGTCCGTTTGGAGCACTGTCGATCGTCAACCTTCCCAGCAACCTGGAGAAGGAAACCACACACAGATACTGCGCCAACTCCTTCAAACTGCACCGGTACGGCGATAAACCTCCAGTCTGTTTACCTTCACTTCACAGCTGAGCAGTGTTTCCTCTGACATGTTACAAAAACCTCGGGAAACAGGTCGGAATTAAGTTCCAGCGTAGCTGTTATTCTTGGATCGCTCCTTTAGTTCTGATCACCTCCACCATGTGCTATGATTCTAATTTTAGTTATTACTGGTTAATAGATAGTGCTTCCAGTTTTTGTTTGGAGGGTCCACAGATTCTCAGCCTGGAGGCTGCACATCAGGTCAGGTGTGGTTTTGCAGCACTGTCCAACACGGACTTCTGTTGGAACATCTCGCGGGATCTGAGGAGAAACAAGTTGTTTTGTTCACACAAATAAAAGAATCTCCCTGTGACTTTACTACTCCATGGAGATGAACTCAAAAGTGAAGATCGCTCTCTTGATTTCCTGGAGGAGATTTAGGATCCGTGAAAGGGGATCGAGCTCCACGTGATGATCTCAACAGCAAACAGAAGTTTACGTCCACTCAGGTCTGCAACCCTGTGAGTGTTCTTCTCACTTGATGCCCTCTGGGTGGAAGCTGGACTCAACTGAGAACCTGCTACTGCTCATAGCTGGAGAGCCAGCTCTGATGATCCAGACAAGTTGATGCTCATTCTCCGTACAACAAGAGGACCTTTAAAAAGTGAGAGGTTGACCTTGGAGTGGAGAATAATAAAAATAATGTTTCAACTGTTAATGATTTTTATGCTTTAAATAAAAGCAATAATCAGCTGGGTTAGGACCTCCACAGGTCCTAACCCAGGGCTGTGATGGTGCTGTCCGAGTCGGTACGACCACCGTACTCTGAATATACTCTGTTGCAGACGCGAACAGCTGGAGAGCCGCTGTCCATGTAGTCATTCCTGAGAAGTTGCTGCGCTGTCATGTCAAGTTCTCTGCTGACGAGTCTGCGTGGTCACTGAAACTGCGGCATTCAAACGTCCGCACAGACCCTCGTCTTAACCGTCTGATGATGACATTTATGTCATTTTACGTAAGCGGACCCTAACGGGCTCATGGAGCTGGACAGAGTAATTCCTGATTAAAGAGAGGCAGCTGAATGACATTGAGGATCGTCACATCATGACAGGAAGCACAGCTCTAGTTCAATACCAGCAATTGGACTTTCAAAATAAAAGCACGGGAAGTGACTAATCAGTCTTTAAGTCTCTGAAGTACACAAACATACCCAGGTAGCCCATCTATGTAAAGAAACACTGCTAAGACTTTGGGTTTAAGTAAGAGCTCATTATTATTATTATTATTATTGCTCAGCAATGAAGTCATTTTAGAACCATGGCAGCAAAGAAAAGCCGTCAAACCAAAGCAGAAACACCTGAAAGGAAAGCTGACACTAAATGATGAAATTATTTGATTATTAGCTTATGTTGAAGTCTGTTATGGTGGGTCAAGATGTTTATTGTGTGTGTGTGTGTGTGTGTGTGTGTGTGTGTGTGTGTGTGTGTGTGTGTGTGTGTGTGTGTGTGTG